CTCAACATAGTAAATAATCAAAGTGATCCTGTCAAAAGGTAAGTCAGATGGTACTACTCCCTTACTCAATTCCTCTGCCTCTCTCCTCCTGCTCCCCACATTTCACTGCCAACAGGAGCCAAGTTTCTTAAAATGGCCTTCTGGGTGCTATATAATGTGGATTCTGTTAATTTCTTTGACTTTATCTCCAACTCTGGTCTTTTTGCTCATAACATGCCAGTCACACTGGCTTCTCCACTTTCCTCAAGCATGCTAGATGCTCCTCGGCCTTGGAGCCTTTGAACTTACTGTCTCTTCTGCATGAACAATATTTCCTTTATAAATCAGCAAGGTCAACCCCCTCACCTTCTTCATTCCTTTGCTCAAATGTAATATTTACAATGAGGACAACCCTGCTCACCCTTTAGTATTGAATTTAATACTCATTCTTTTCTGACATTTCCAATTCACCTTTCCCTGTTCTCTGTAGGCTTACTACTGTCCTCCACTCGCTCACCAACCAGAGTACTTATCACCTGCTGAGGTACTATATAATTTGTTCTTTTACCTTTTATTTTCTGTTCTCATGCAAGAGAGCTTGTGATTTGTTCATATACATATCCCAGGTGACTGGAATTGTGACTGGCACAAATGGACCTTTGTGTTGAATGAGTGAATGGACAATCTGTTATATAATCTCAATATCCAAAATAACATAGGCTCAATTATTTTTGAGACTTTACAGTTTGAGAATGAATCAAGGGCCTCCTTAGTCAAAGTTATAGGAGAGATTTTAGGTACCTCTCATGTATTGCTTATTTGAATATCTCAAATGTTATTTGAGATAACATTTGCAATGGTGTCACTAGTCACAAGCACTAAGGCAAAAACTGGGCCTGATTTTCACTAGCAGTTTATGGGCTCTACTTTCCACTTTAAACTATTCTATGTGACTTTATAACTGTGGGGTGATTAGCAGTACATGCTCGGAGTCTACTTTCTTTCCCAAAACCTGTTTACCAAGCCCTGGATGGCTTTAGAGTGTCTTCTTTATAACTATGGCTGAGCTGAGATCTTCCTCTATGCAAGTGTCCTTACACAGATTTTCAAAGAAATTCAATTAGCTCTTTAATGTCTAACCGTTTCATGGCTTGCAAGCTCTAGAGTAACCTGTACGCAGGTCTCAGTACATCTTCATATCAATCACCTTTCTCTATCACCAACACAACACCAAAATCATTTCCTTCAGAAAGTTGGAATTCTTTGCTTCCCACCTCACAAGAGTGTATATGAGCCCAGGCAGAATCCATATCTGCCTTTCACCATGGCCACAGTCTGCTCTTCCCCTGACTGCTAAGGTACTGGCCGTAACACTGGGCCCAAAGAGGATACCCCTCAGCCTGTCATTTTGATACCTGCTGCTTGCTGCTTGTGTCTTACCTCAAGCACTCCACTCTGCTCAAGGTAAGAGTTCTGCTGGACCATTGTGCCTTCTAACTTGGAAATGACACCAACAAACAAAGTTGCAGGCCCAGAAAGTTTGCTGTTTGATTGATCCACTGTGTGATAGCCAGGACCTAGGTTGGAGTGCTCAGGGTGGCAAACTTTCTGAGCAATGTAATGTGATAGGGAAGACACACTTGTCTTGGAAAGAAATACTCATTTCATATATAGCATCCCCTCAAGGATGCCTTGTGATTGCGGTGGCCACAAGTCAGAAAGAAGGGACATTTACAACTAATCTTCAAATAGTTTATTAACTTTATTTTCCCATGCCTCATCATCCCACCCCAGCATGCTCCTTCTCACTTTCACCCTAAGTTGTGGTGGGTTTGAAGACAGAAGATTCCCCCAAGGCTGGGTGGAGCCCCAGGCGTTCTGGTGATGCAGTCTGCTATGTTAGAAAACAGTATGGGCTTAGACTTGGCCAGCCCTGAATTCAAGTTTAAGGCTGTCACTGACCAATCAAGTGACTCTAGCAACCTGCTTCTGATATTCAACCCTGAGTTTCCTCCTCTGTAAACTTGGCCTGGTGTTGCCTACCTTGCTGGATGGTTGCAGAGGTTAGAGACAATGCATGAAAATAGCCATAAAAGTATCTGGCACAATTTAGGTGTGCAGGAAATGGCAGCTGCCACTCTTGCTATGCATTGGCGACTTTTGGGCTCTCCAGCCCTGAGTTTCCTAAACAACTGGAGGGTTCTAGGACCCAGAAACTCAATCCACTTCAGAGGCATCCTGGCAACTAAAACTACAGCTTTTCCTCTCACTTTGTGGAAACTTTGCTGGGGTGGGGCGAGCTTAGGTTGCTGATTTACACGACAAGAATCTCACAGCCTATTTCCCATCTGGATACTGCTCAGAGCTCAAAAAATTTATAGAAATGAAACAATGAATATTCTCTTTTCCTCACCACTTTCCTGAAGCCCCTTTTCCTGTGTCTTCTTTAGCCTTGTCATCCATTTCACAGCCACTGGAAATAGAGCCTTTGTTCAGTGTTTACCTAATCCAGTGAAGATTAACTCTTTGCAGTACCAATGTAGTGTGTTGAGGAGTGGAGAGGGATGGGAGACACACTAAAGCTCCAGCTAACGGGTGGAAGGAATGAGTACAGGTCATTGACTTTTTTTTCCTTACTGAGCTGAGGCCAGTCACCCAACCCTTTGTGCATCCCTGTGGAGCCTCCTGACTGAGGCCTTTAGGATTCCAGCAGTCATCTGTTTTACAGTGCAGCTTGTAGTATACTCTCACTCTTTCTCCCTTTATACTGGGTACTACTGGTTCTCTGACTGAATTAAGCTTCTTGACCATCACTTGCAAATAACCATTTTAGATCATTGGATGATTATTCCCTATCAGAGCCTGAGAAAACATGGATTCAGAGTTTTGGAAGGGTATTATTTCTCCCCCTGAGCTAGCTGGTGCTTCCTATGAAGTGTGTGTGGGGGGGGGGCGGTAATCTTACTGATCTGGCAAAGATAGTATGTGGCAAGCCCCTGTTACAGGGGAGATGCTCAATAAATCTTTGTTCTGCAGGAGTTTTACACTAGCTGACTGACCTGGAGCTGCCTGACTTCTATGAGCCCCTTTCTGTAAAAGGGGGAGAACTTAAAGTCAGCCTTGTCCCAAAAAGATTTTGAAGCTGCAGCCAGGGTTCTTGAAACCTGTCCAACTGACTTCACCAGTTTCTTTTGAAGATAGAGACTTTGTGAATTAATTGGCAGGCAGAGACAGACAGCAGAGTAGCATATAGGAAATCATTCTGGATTTGCAGGAACAGACTTGGGGGCTTGTCTTGATTCTGCCACTTGCCACTCCTGTGGCTATAGACAGGAAAGTCATTTAGTAATCTGAACCTCAGAGTCACACCTTGTCTACCTCTGGAGGTGCCAGAAACATGTCTTTTAAATTCCTGCAGTCCCAGTCTCTATTACACTATCTGAATCATAGAAGGCTTTTACTATTTTGTTTGCTGAATGAATTTGAAGCTGTTGAGGTGTCATAGTTCCTACTATTGTTTGAAGCCTCCATTGCCTGCATGCTTACATCTATGGGTCCCTGAGCCTTTGCCAGAAAGTAATTTGCTAGCCTACTCAGGCCCCAGAGACTGTACCTCACACAGAGCTGGAAGCAGGATAAGACTGACTGATGTCGAAGAAAGAAGGTATCCTGGCCACTATTTTATGTGTGATAGCTGCTCCCTCTAAGCCCCACAAAGCTAGGTGAGGCACCCTTCCTTGATGCTCCCTATTAGTGGACTTAGTTTATACAGTGTTTAACTCCAGGAGTAAATGTGGTAGGCTTTGAGAGTGGCCAGAACTCCTTATGCATGTTCTTCACTAAGAATATAAGGGATGATTCTCACATCTCCACATTTGCTGTAGAGTTAGGTAGAGGATTATGAAGGCCCTGATGATAGAATGGATGGCAAGGGCATTGAACTCCTTGGTACAATGAAGTAAGAAAGTGTGAAAGCTCCTGGAGGTGGTAAGAAACCTGATACCATGACTTAATAACACCATGGGCTACTATGCCAGGTGGCCTTCTGGACTTACCACACTGGCTGAAGGAGAGTCAAAGTGCTAATTATGCGCCCCCCACCCCCACCCCCGGGACGGACACACACACACACACACACACACACACACACCCCACCTCATACCACACTTTTAAAACAATTTGTACATCTTAACAAAACCATAGTTCCTGAGAAATGCTAGGTTACCTTTCAGAGATGCCCCAGGTGGAACCTTCTCTCTGGCTCATTCAAGAAGCTCTGCTTTCCTGAAGCCCTTTCTTTTAATTATTCTAGGATTATCTTCATTATTATTTTTTGTTCTCATTAAAATCATCCATAACTCCCACCCTCTGAGGTTCTAACCCCTGCTCACCTCTTCCCCATCTCATTTATTTTTTTCCACTTTCCCCTTGATATAACTTTACTAGTTCAGTGAAAAATGTGCTTTTTCTTTAATATCCATGCTGCCTTTAGTGCTTCCATATTTACTCTTCCCCATCTCCAATGTTATTTCCAGACCTCATGTTGTTATCTCACCAAGAATTTTCTGACAGTCACACCTTTTTAATTTCTGTAGTGCTTCATAATGTCCTTTTTCTTGCAATCACTCCTCTTTCCTCTGCCCTCCTGTCAAGCTGGCTTAGGAGTATTTTCTATTTCCAAAGCACCCTATGATGTTCCTTTCCCCTTGCCAATGTCCCCTCCCCCCAAAAGTACCGAATATACAATATTTTCATAGTATGCTGATGCCTCTTTCAAATCTCCCCAAACTTATTTAAGCATCTCCTGTCCCACACCCAAGACAGGACATATTAGCTTTTTTACATTTTCATGGCACCCCATGCTCAGTCCCTATTACAGCATTTACCATGCTACTAGTTTACATGTCTCTCCCATGTAATCTAGAATATTCTTTAGAACTGAGGGCTATGTGCTAAGGAGTATCCTCAGAACCTAGAGTGGTGTTTCACACATAACCAGTGGCCAATAAATGAACAAGGTGTCCTTGTCATTATGCTTTTATTTTTTTCTGTATTCTGCAGTAACTAAGAAAAATCATAGTAGTTGTCAGTCTTCTTTATACAACAGCAGACTCAAAGGTTTTCAGAAAGGTCAGACATAAATGAATCCCATCTTTCTTTCACATTTTACTGGTTATTTCAAAGTTTCAAAGAACAGCCTATTTCAATGGTATAAAACATGTACCAGATCACAGAATATGATGGAAAGACTTCATTATTTTAACGTTAGCAAAACTATTACGCTAAATCTCAATGACAGAAAATATATCTTCTTCAATGATATTTTTAAACATACTGTGACTTTAATCAACACTGTATTAAAATGAATAAATTTTACAATATCCAAAGCAGATGCTCTATTTTGCAGTTAAACTATTAGCACTGATCACAAATACCAAATACAGTGCGCCCCCTTCCCCCAAATATTCAACTCAGAACCTAGGTGATATACTCCTTGGGAAACCTGTTAAGTTCTTTCCAGCCCACTCCCTCCCCAAAGGGTCTGCGCGGGATTTCCCTAAGGGGCAGAGTAACCCCTACCACCTGAATTGAGAATAGCCTCAACTTCCGCATCATCATCCGAATCCCAATCGTAATTACATTGCCAGTCCTTGGAGCATCGGTTACGCACCCTTGCCACAAAATGCATGACTTTCAGCTTGCTCGATTCCACGTGTGCTCGAGGTCCCCAGAAGAACTCGTACTCTACGGGACTGCTACGGGGCACCGGCTTATACATCAGGTACCCTCTGCGCACGAACTCTTCTGTGACGACCTTCTTTGGATCCCCAAAAATGCTGTGCTGCCGGCCAGGCTGCATCCCCAACTTCCCCAGCACTTTCCAGACCAGGGCCTCCTTGGCGCTGTTGCCCATGATAAAGATGAGGGCTAATATGGACATCAGGAGACTTTTCTTCGTGCCTTGAAAATTGCTCCGGGCTATCGAGGGCTTTTGTGCTTGAGCAGCACTGGAGGATTCATCAGGGGTGGTGGAGGCCTCCTTCGGAGTGCTCGGGTCTTCCTCCGGGCCGCTCAGGTCGTCCTCGGGGGTGCTCGGGACAACAGAAGCGGCCACTGGGGTCTCGGAGGCTTCTGAGGCCTGGATCTTACGATTGTTGCGGTTCTCTTCCGCGGCCCTAGCGTTACGGCGGCGCCTACTCTTTCGTCCCCGTGGCATGTCTCTTGCTAGGGGCGTTGAGGCTACAGCAATCCTAGGGAAGGATGCCTGTAACCTCTGCAGAAAGCAACTAACTCTACCTGAAGGGAACGCCGCTGAAGCTACCAACGTCAACGGAGTCTTTGTAGCAACAAGCCAGACGTTCTCAGAGACAGCACTCACTCCAACGCAAGCCGACTTGCGTGAGCAGTCTCCGCCTACATTCGCCAGCTGCAAGCGCGCGAGAATGCTGTGCAGAATTGGCTCCGCCTCCCCTGCCACGCACTCGCCTAATTCCAAAAAGGAAATGGGTGGTCCGTCCATCAACACTTCCGTTGTCTGATAGCAAAAGGGGCAGGCCACTGCAGGAGTGGGACTGGAGCAGAAATGATGTCTAGGGATTGGCAAGGACGGGGTATGCAGAGGAGAAATGCATAGGATTCCTGTATTTTTCATTCTAGTATAAGATTGGCTAGCGGGTCTTGGGACAGAGTGTGTCTCTTCTCCATTCCCACGGAATGCACTCTGTGTGTGTGTGTGTGTGTGTGTGTGTGTGTGTGTGTGTGTGTGTGTGTGTGTGTGTGTGTGTGTATTCTCGGAAGGAATCAGGTAGTCCCAGCTCTCCTTACACAGCGCATTCCTTCTCTCGCCCTGTTTTCAGAAGGAATTTATGTGTATACTAATTAATTTGTGGACCCATTTAGGGCCCAGAGAAGATGGCTGTGGCTGAAGTGCTGGGCAATAAGAGAAGATGGGATTGCAAAAGCAAACAGTGCAAGAGGTGCAGAGCCTTTAAAATGTTAGATATACATAAAATTATTAAATAGAGCACTGACTGGATCTGACTTTCATTTGTAGAGCTTTATAGAAGAGCTGACTATTGTCTGGCAGGCCACTTAAGAAGCAATTAGAATAAAGAGCAAGAGAGAATGAGCCGCTTCACCTCTCTGAGTCTCCATTTCTTCATCTATGAAGTGGGGTTAAAGTCCCGGCCTCATAAGGATATGATAATTAAATGAGATAAGTGAAAAGTGCTTATTACACAGGAAGCACAGCCTTTCCCACTCAAGGTGTTTCAGAAATGTGTGGGAATGGTGTTTAATAAATGCATGTTGAAGGAATACATGATGGAAAAGATTTTGCAGGTGTTTTTACCCAAAGTTTTTAAAAGCAAATAAATACTTTTTACCAGTTTGGCTGGAAAAGATTAAATACTTGCTTGTCAGAAACTCAAACTAATCCCACTGAGGGAAGGAGCCCTATCTAGCCCCTTGATGTCTCCCAGCCCTTGGTAGAGTTTGTGGAGTAGAATATGGCTATGCCCAGTGAATAAATTCTGGGGTGGGGCAGTGTGTCCTGTTTGAAAAACAGAATTGCCAGCTGAATTGTACCCAACAAGGCCCAGTCCTCTGTACATGTGTAGAAAAGGGATGCTTGGTATGGAAGAATGAACATTGAATTCGGACCTGGGAACATGTGTTTTGGCCCAGCCCATGTCACTTACAAACTCTTTGACCTTGATGAATTTACCTAACATTTGTGTTCTGTGATTTGTTCTCTGAACAAATAGAAAAGGCTAATTTCTCCAGCCTTGTCTGCCAGGTTTGTGGTGAGGCTCTCTGGAAATCCAACAGCACATACTAGTGACCCTGGGTTAAAGCAATTTCCTCTTTTTTTTTTTTGTTTGATATTTGTTTTGTGTTAGCTGTTTGTGAATCTGTGTGCCTAGAAAACTGCAATGCTACCTATATTCGTTTAAATAGCTTCTCTATTCTGATGGGATTTTATGGAAATGTAATGCAACAAACTAATTTTCTTCCCAACAGTCACTAACTCAAATTTTCTTAGTATTTAGAGTCTACCAAGGCCTTCTGTTGGGGGAGTCTAGCTATAATCCAATCTGGGGCAGTGTATGCTTGTTGCTGCAATGCCTTCTGCCCACCAACCAGCTGACTGAGGACAAGGTACCATTTCATGTCCATATAAATTACATAGGAGATTTTTGGAGTGGATTTATTTTTATGTGCATGTTTAAAATTAATTTATTTTCCAATTACAGATGACATACAATATTATATTAGTTTCATGTGTACAACATAGTGATTAAACATTTATATACCTTATGAAGTGATTACCTCAACAAGTCTGACACATACATAGTTATTACAATATTATTGACTATATTCCTTGTACTGTACAGCCCTGTGACAGTTTTTATAACTGCAATTTGTACCTCTTAATCCCTTTTACATTTTTCACCTGATGTTTATCTAAGTTGGTAAATGTAGCTCTGGCTCATTTTAATTTTGTACATGATTTCTTTTAATATTTGCAATTTATCTTTCCTATTGCTGATCTGGACTTTTGCAGTTTTCATTTTTCCAGAACACATAATGCTCTTATTAGTATTTTTGTTCCTGTCTCCTGAGAAAATGTGCATGGATCTCTAGGATCAACATCTGTGAGTAGAGTTACTGGATGTATCTTCATAGATGTGTCGAGATGGAACACATAGATATCTGCTTTGTTTCATTTACAAAAATTGGATCATTCTATACACAATTTCCATTTTGTTTTTTTCCTGATTAACAATAACATTTCCTCAACTTATACCTCTAAAGCTTTCTTTATAAAGGCTGAATGATGTTTCTTGTAGTGTTTTTACTGCAATCTCATCTTCTGGCTGAATATACTCTTTATGTTCAAATTATTTCCTCCTCTACAAACAGTCCTGCAATAAAAGTTCAATCGTTAGTTTACTAGGTTTTTTTTTTTCATTTTTTTAAATTTATTTTCTTAATGACGATATTGTTTAATGAAATCCAGTAAGTTTCAGTTGAACATTTTAACAGTAATGCATGTATATATTTGCATTGTGTGTTCATCTCCCATAGTTAGATTTCCTTCTCTCACCACATATTTGACCCCATTTAGCCCATCTACTTTCCACTTCTCCCTGCCCTCAGATAACCACTAATCTATTCTGCTTTTTTCCCAGAAAGATTTATTATATTAAAGTCTGTCTTTATCTTGTTGCAAGAAGGCATTTTTTTCTATTGGTTTCCAGTAGGTGGCATCTAAGCCTCTTGGATCCCTGCTTTATACAAAGTCTTAATAATGCCTGTTTTTTTTCTTGTAGATTTCAGTCACACTCACTACCCTCAGTCTCAGTCCTTGTCAGTATTAGCAACAATTTCGGTAGCATCTATTCAGATTCCCTTGGGGCGCTGAGTAATATTCCATTGTATGTATGTATTACAGATTCTTTAGCCAATCATCTATTGTAGGACACATCGGTTGCTTCCATGTCCTGGCCACTGTGAATAATGTTGCTAAGAACATCGGTGTGCAGATAACTTTTTGGATGTGGGTTTTCAAGACTTTGGGCTAAATACCCAGTAGAGGGATTGATGGATCTTACCCTCAGTCTCAGTCCTTGTCAGTATTAGCAACAATTTCGGTAGCATCTATTCAGATTCCCTTGGGGCTCCGTGGTGTTCAGTCTCATAGGATATATAGAGAGGGACCCTTTTGGTTGTTTAATGGGGTTGCGGTTCAACCTTGACTTTTGCAACAGCAGCTAGTAGTGATCAATTGTTGCTTCTCTGCCATCTCCTCTTCTCTGCCGTCACCTCTTCTCTGCTTTCTGCCCTGATTCATGAGCACTGCCGCCGGCCGGGTGGAGCTCACAGTTCTCCCAGTCAAGGCTGTTCAGGGAAACTGCTGCACCTTCTTCCCTCCCCTTCTTCTTGCAGGGAGCTCCGGCTGGAGAGAATACTGTTTTCCATAGTGCCTATACCAATTTGCAGTTCCATCAGCAGTGTATGCAGGATCGTTTTCTCCGCATCCTCTCTAAGAGTTGTTATTCCTTGTCCTGTTGATTAAAGCCATTCTAACAGATGTGAGATGGTATCTCATTGTGGTTTTAATTTGCATTTCCCTATTAGCTAGGGATGTTGAGCATCTTTTCATATATTTGTTGGCCATTTGTATATCCTCTAGGGAAAAGTGTCCATTCAGGTCCTTTGCCCATTAATTGATTGGATCGTTTGTTTTTTTTGTTGTTGTTATTGAGTTGCATGAGTACTTTGTATATTTTGGATTTTAGGCCCTTATCAGAGGTGTTGCTTTCAAATATATTTTTCCATTCAGATTGTTCTCTCTTTACTTTGTGGACAATTTTCTTTTACTATGCAGAAGCTATTTAGTTTCATATAGTCCCATTCGTTTAATTTTGCTTTTACTTCCCTTAATTTGAGGTCAAATTCATAAAATCCCCGTTAGGAGATCTGGAGATGTCTCTCACTCCACCATGTTTCTGACATCACATAGAATTTTTTTTTTTTTTAATGAGCAGTATATTCAACTTAGTATGAATGCCAAGTTTATGTTCAGGATGTTTGATCAATGATTTAAAATTCTTCCTTCCTTCTGCTTTTAAATCATGGTAATTTATGACATTTTCCTGAATCTTAAGTAGGAAGCAAAGGCTTCTCTGATTATTAATTCTATGATATATAAGGCTGATTGAACATTATTTCAAATGCACTGAATGGGGCATCACTGAATATTTTCCAACAGCAGACTGGCCTGATTAGCAATTTGGCTGCAGTGTAGAGGATTGACTATTGAGGATGAGAGAGTGTTGGGTGGAAGACCTGATTTGAGGCTATTGCCCTCATCTAAGCTAATGATAATGGTGGCCTGAGATAGACTGGTGACAGTAAAGGTTATGAGAAGGGAATGGAATTCTGAGCCAATTAAAAGGCAGAATCAACGCTCCTTGGGAATTGCTCAAATCTGGACAGTGAGACTTTGGAAACATGGCGCCACTGTATGTTTTTGGCTTTTTCGTCGAAAATTATTTCCCTATATAAATGTGGGGGATTATTTCTGGACTCTAGATTCTGTTACACTGGTCTGTGTGTCTTTTTCTGCCAATACCATGCCGTTTTGATTATTGTCACTTTTAAAGTAAAATTTTAATTAGGTCAGAGTGTGCCCCCAACCTCGACACCCAAACTGCACACCAACACGTCTGAGCGTGAGATTTTCATATAAGAGCTACCAAAGGTCAGACCCCTGGATGTCAGCAGGTGGACTGCGATAAATAAGCTGCCTCTCGCAGCTGCCATAGGTATTTTTCTCAGAATGACTTTGGCAATTTGGAGTCTTTGGGCTTCCATACAAATCTGATGACGTTTTGTTCTTCTTTT